CTTAGTTGAGTTAAGTTTTCTTTTTCATTTTTTTTTTCTTTTTATGTGGAACAGGAAAAAATTTATATGTCGGCAATTTCAAGAATATTAATAATTAAACGACCTAAAGATCCATATCACTTATATAAACGCGTCAAGTTTATTAGCAACATAAAATTTTCTCACACCTTCTAAGCATCTGAGAATTGCAATTCACATACGCAAGAACTGATGAATCGCTCAGAAATATACGTACATATAAAAAAAAATTAATACTTAGATATTTCTTTTAGCAAAATGGTGCAGATTGCTTCAAATTAACATATTTTTAGTAATAATTGCATACATATATATGTACGCATATAAGCGTTCACAATTAGAAACAAATCACGGTCATCACATGAACGTTTTCACATGTAAAGATTAAATTTTCAAACAGTAATCGGCTTGAAAATAGATGAAGGAGTATATAAATTGGATTTATCCATCTATGCAAAGTAAGGGAAGAAAATCATGAAATTTTTTTTTATTTCTTTTGCTTGAAGAAAGCACTTTACAAAAATATGAAAGCAAAAGTTATTCAAAAGTTTATTCACCGCCAGCTATAACTTTTTCGAGTATCAAATACGCGCTGATGTATTTCGATATTAGTTATTTTGAATAGTTTTTCGCGTAAATATTTAAAGTTCTTTCATCAGACTTTTTTAAGAGGTGAAGCCTATCGTCTAATTTACCATATGTCGCATGCATATTTTTACACGATTTTTTGGCAACGTATTTTCACATAAAAAGAGAGTTTGGCGACTGAATTTATTTACTTTTTTTGCTTTAGCAACTCACAAATCGAAACATTCCTTGACGTTTTCAAAAGGCTTGAAGCTTTAATCATCTGAATAGTTCTATTGTGAATGCAATAAGCGATTTCTTTGAACGGTGTAGCAGCATGGGGTGTTATACCTTATTATATTCATTCCGGAGAACGCCTTAGGTTTGCCAAAAATTTACAATGTCCTGAAAGATCCATCGAAGGAGCCGTGGGCTAGATGTACGTCGAAAATTGTGAAAAGCTGAACCATTTAAGTCAACCCTATTTTTCTATTTGTTCTGCTTTTCTCTGTTGAATTCGTGATCGCGGTCTTATAGCTTTCTCTAAAAAAAAAAAAGAAATGACACCCATATTCTTGCTGTTGTTATCCCTTTTTTAATAAATTTTTGTTAAATTTGAAAATCTGGTCCGAACCTAGCATTGTAAAGCTACAGTTTGTGGTTTAAACTTTCCGATAACAAGATTTTTCCATCAAGGTTGATACTCAGCAGAACCGGTCTACGGGCTGGAATTTGATAATTAGCCAGCATTTTGCTTATGCTGAGGTGATTTATTGATACTAAGCGTTTTGGAAGGTATCAAATGTGTCTCTTTGAAAATTTCTTACATAAAACGTTATGATATCGCTATTTTGAATTTACGACTTTTATTTTTATATATTTCTAACGTATTTTTCAATATTTGGTTCATTCGTTCATATTTTTTATACCCTACATCACTTATAAAAGAGGTTATGTTTGCGTGGTTGTATATAACACCCAAAATGAATTGACTGGAATATGCTATTTCTTATTATAACGATCGATTCAGGATCACTTTCGCGATATAAGCTTGTCAGTCTGTCTTCTTTTCTTGCGTTCAACGTACGGATCAAAATTTTCGACATCATTTGATGAAATCTAGTATACCGACGTGTTTTGGTACAAGCAAATGGCTCGGATTGGAGCAATTTTTTGATTATTTCCCTTAGAACGCATTATTTTGAATTATGTTGTATTTGAAAAATTGCGATTAATTGCGTGATTAAGTCGTTTCTAACGTAACGTCATTATTTTGGTTCTCAATCCAATTTATACTGAATTGGTCGGTATAATAAAAGATGGGTCTATTTTAAGCCCTTATGGGTCTTAGATACATCCGCACAACTTAATACACCCTGTGCCACAAATGCTGCACGTTATAACTATCACTCGCAAAAATGAAGCTAGCAACATATGACTCCGACAAAGAGTGAAAACGGTATTAGCACTCCGTGTTGTCATCTGGCTAACGCCTACGAGTTAAAATCAGTATACTATTAATTTGTGTTCCGATTCATCAAATGGAAGCTGTATATAAGACTTTAACGTTGAACAATGAATTATGGAAGAGTTATTTTTATAATTATGTCTTAAATCCATTTTTGCGTATCATCTTGAAAATAGCATGAAGGGACCGTTTTCAAATTTAATGTATAATAAGCAACCTAAAAAAATAGTAAACGTTTTTGACAGATCAAGTTTCTCAAATATTTGTTCGCTTCATTTATATCGTATATGAAACCAATTAACGCTTTTTCTGCTATTAGTTTTATTGTTTTATAAATTGTTATAAGAATTGCATTTTCTGGATGTAAGCAACGTGTTTGTAAGTCGATTATCAAACAATGAATAGTAAAGTCTAAATGCGTACGAAAAAATAAGGTTTCTCTTATTGAAAGACGTATTTATGGATTGAGGGTCGGAAAATATATTTCTTAAAAAACAAAAACTTTTATTAAATAACAAACCAACCATTTGTTTTGAGTTAAAATAAAGTTATAAACAAAAAATATAAATCAATCTTAAAAAAATACCACAAAAAACTGTACATACCGTTTATTTAATACGCTATTTGTTGACAATATTTAAAAACTAATATATTGTGCATCTAGTACTGCTTGCATATGTCTTGGCATTATAAAAATAAATTTTTGTTACATCTGCACCAATTTTGTTCCATTTCCCAAGTAAAGTTATCACTAAAGCATTCCCAAAGTCTTCCATTTTACAAATTTCATTTTTTCGAATGAAAAAATCTGCCTCCGTATCCAATTCATGCTATATGTTTCCAGTTGCATTCAAATCCGATGATTGCGAAGAAGAATGTAATTGTGCGGTCGCTTTGTAAATTAGCCGCTCTTCTACAAAAAGAGATGTATGTATATAAAATTGAATGTGCATTGTACGGGGGAACTTTTTTTCCTCCGATATTTTGCAGAATTTTTTTTAATAGAAATATAAGACATCTTTATTGGCTTAATCCGCTAAACTCAAGAAACAAAAAAAAATCTTACTTAAAATATTTCCTACGGCTCAACATTGCTCCGTAATATTGCTGATCATGCGGGCTAACCTCTGTGTTGTTGGGCGATTGTAACTAAATTTATACATAATATTCATTCAATCATGTTCACTTCACTCGCTGCACTTCATTTCAGGCAGATTAAAAATAAATAAATATATAGATATTTAATTTCGCTTTAAAAGTCGAAATAGTCAAATAAAATAAGAAAATTAATTGGAACTCTGAAAAGATCAGCTCACAATATACATGTATAGATCTATATACATTTAGAATCAAATTATCTGTCTACTTTCTTAAGGTTCAAACGAAGAACCTCGTGTTCACATTAAACCTTTTTTGTTCGACCCAGCGGCGTTTACTTTTTGTCGAGCGAAAAAACCCAGTATTAATGAAACTCACTGTACATATTTTTCGTTTTTACATGCCTTATTCTCTTTTTATATGCACACATGTATATGTAAGCAATTTATGACAAATAACTTCGACCTTTCTATGAATCACGACTTCCCAAGAGCATTTTTCGTCATTTCCTCAAACGCAAATGCATATATATATATATATATATATGTATACACCTATAATATACGTTTGTATAGATACGTAGCTACGTATAACATTTATTTATCTGCATATTATTCTGTACACATTTAACTGGAAAGATACGTTAAGGAATCTTCCTAAAATTTAGAGAATTCCAGTTTCTAGAATGAACATGCAATATAAAATATATTGGAAATAAAGAAACCTAGCGCGCAGCTGCCCGATATTCATTTTCACTTGTACATAAATATGAATATGTACATTTAGACCAGACAAGTTTCTTTTTTTTTGCTTATATACACATACACAATAATAATGTAAATAAATATAAATAAAATTGTAAATAATTTTAGCTATGTGCATACCAGTACAAGTTCATAGTATACTAAATTATCATTCTAATTGCAAAATTGAGGGATTCAACAAAACAAATATTAGATTACTAAAATACTTCAACTAGTTATACTATGTAACAACTTTTCTTTATTGATTTCAAACATTGACAAGCAAAAACACAATGGCTGAGTTAAGATAAAAGTTATTTTATGTTTAGAGGATAGAAATATCTTTGGTTCCTTTGTTATTTTTGTTAAAAGTGGCTTAGACCCATTACGTTATTAAGTATATAAAGTGAAGAATAGTTCAATAAGTCGAAAACTATTAAACCATGAAAATTTGTATTGTTTACTTATAAATAATATTACATTTATTTTAAATTATTTAAAATTCCTTTTTCAATATATGAGCATAGATACGTTTAATACAAATACCTGAGTAAAAGATATGAAAAGTCGATCTATTTGCTTATTTACGCTGTCGATTATTTTGTGGTATAACAACTCTGTTTTAATGCATTGAACACTAAAAGAGTACTAAAGAAAAAAAAAATGGTCGATTATACATTTCCACAAATCTTAAATGGAACGCATATTTTATCGCTACATTGCGAGGATTTCCAAAGCATTTAATATTCGTTTTTCCAAAGAGATATTGAAAAATTTTCAGGCAACAGTATCAAAAGGTATTTATTTATGATTACTTTAAACAGGGGTAGAAAAAGGAATGAAAACGCAGCGCTAGAATAAGCCATATGACATTGGAATATACATACACAGTTTTTCATAGGTATAAAAGGCAGTGTAGAAAGTTCGGTTTTTATCAGTCGTAAAAGAAACGTTGTAAAGTGCAGTCTATTGTATAAAGATCGTTGGGAAGGAATTCTCAAGCAGAAAACCTTTTGTGTGTATACATAATAACCTGATTATTGTGAAATTAAGGTTATTTGATGTAATAGCTGCAATTGTTACAATTTCGGTATAAAAGGTGTGTGTGTATATAGGCATTTGCAAATAATTTATTTTACTGCTTATATAAAAGTTCAAAGCTTTCATAAATAAGCGATGGTAGCCATGTATTACCAAGGAGAGGATGAATACGGTCAAAATCCCAAGACACTATGCGATTGGGTCAGAAATTTTCGTTTAAAGAAATTGCAAATGAAACGCAAATTACGTTCGGGTGGTAATCTTCGTGTATGCGCCATTTTATCAACGGCTTTAATGAATGCCGAACTTGAGCTGAGACGCAAGCAGCAAGAGCGTTTCCAACGCTGGTTGGAATTTCAAACGAAAATCAATAAATCAGCTATAAATAATCATCATTCCAAAGAGAAGGCTGAATCGGTAGTGATTATTGACGATAATAATGACAAGTGCCGTAGACAACGCGAAGAAATTACGAATTTGTGGAAATGTGAACTTAGTGAATTAGATAATTTTATGCGTAGTATTAGTAGCAGCAGTAGTAATAAGACTAATGCATACGTAAATGCTTGTGGAGCAGATGTTTCTGGTGATCCTACGCAAAAGACTGAAAGTGGGATAGAAAATAGCAAACGACATGTTCATCCATCAACTGTTCGAGTGCAAAGTTGAAAAATCTACATATTTATTGTTCTAAGCTGTTAAAGCCAAATGTAGAATTAATTATTCCCTAGCCAAGATAGAATGAGATGCGTGCGTGTGCGTGCGTGTGTGTGTGTGTTTGTGTTTGTGTTATAATAGTTTTTATTATGCAAGCTTTTCCATTTGCAGTCCCTTGGGAACTGTGTCTACATTGCCAATAACCTCTCGGACGGAGCCATTATGACGTGGCGTAAAGGAAATAGAAGAAAAGCACATCATGTGTTGAATAATGTGGCCATTTCGATTCGATGATATAATGCAGATCAATGGGCTTATATTTATGAGGTCAACGACTGAATGGAAATTGAATCGAAGATTTTACAAAAAAAAAAATCGGTTTGTAAATTTTTTATTTTTTTTAAAAATTTTTAGTTTTTGTATGAAAGGAATATAAAATGGCGAAAAATCTATGATTACTGATGTATGCTTCAGTTGATGTGAGGAATAGAGAGAAAAATACGACGCCATTTTTTAAAAAGCTTTGAATTTAGAAAAAAATTTGAAAAGTTCGTGAACACGTACACAAAAGTGATTCATATTGAACTGCATTTCTCTCTTATTACTCTCCCTCGAGAGACACAAGTAATCTTTCGGATTTCTTTCCATTTTATGCAGTTTTTATTTTTAGTGGAAAGTTAGCAATAGAATTGAAAGAGAAGTGATTCATATTGAATCCATCCAGTATATATATATATATATAATGTATGTTTATTTTTTCTCTTCATGAAATCTGTGTTTTAAATATATATAAAAGTAAATCTTGTACAAAAGTAATTAAAATTCAAAAAATATAAATAAAAATTGTTCAAGAAGATGAATTTTTGAAAATATTTTGAAAAAATGAACATTTCTTGTCTATTTTTTTTCCCAAGAACAACGTTATTGCATAATTTGCCCTAAATTGAAAAATTTTGTTTTCCAGTTGTTACCACAATGAACCAGATATACACAGATGCACAATTGTAATGTGAGCATCATTTATATGTGGAGACACGAGGAGATGACATGAATATAAACCGTGCATATTCTTTGAAGAACTTTTTGCATAAACCTTGAATAAAGTGGTTTGGTCACTGAGTGAGTTTCTTTCTGTGTGTACTACTAAAACTTCGGAGTGTACTCGACTCCTTTATAAAATTAAACTCCAGCAACATCCTACAATACATATGTTCTTCAAAAAGTACAAATTCTACACAATTATAAACAATAAAAGGATTAAACATGCCTGATAATGAATTGATAACCACTGTGGACTACCCAACCAACACGTTGCCTAACGAGGTTGATGGGCATCCAAAAGCAAACGAGTGCGCAGAGCGAACAATGTTAGCTGCTGTGACCGTTTCCAGTGCAGGATTACTTTATATATGGTATCAAGTTATTGCAAAAAGCGAAATATGCATTTTTGAAAATTTCAGTATTTCTACAAAAGTGTTAGCTGCGAACATAGGATTCTTTCTTGTTCTGCGTTGTTCTGATTTGTGGGTTGCCTAAAGGAAACTGCTTTAATTTCGTGACAATTGTAGTCGGTGTCGCCTTGCGCATTTATGATTAAAAAGCTTCTTGCCGTCGTAAGATTTCTCTGTTTATAGTTGTTTAACTTACAAATTCTATTGCAGAGCGTTCCGCGGTACTATCAAAGAGGATCGTGATTATCGTTTAGAGTATAAATTTATTTTGAGATATGAGTATTCTCGTATTAGACCTGAGTATTAATTTTTTTGAAACCCGTTTATCAGTAGAATTTTTAAAAAATTTTATAGCACTATGAAGCAGATGATCCGTGCCTGCCCATAGTCTACCAATGGAGATTAGTACTACTGGACCTAAATTGTCATCAAGCTAAACGCTATCAGTGTTAAGGTTAGACAACTCTTATTACATATATATATATATATATGTGTATATATATATATATATATATATATACATACATTCAAATTTCTGGATGCACTGCGTATAATATCACGTAAATTGAAGTACTTGTATCAGTATAACGATTTATATTCCATATTAATTTTGCAGCGTTTGTTAAACGAGTCCATTTAAGCTTTAATATCAACTTTTGGAAACCAGAGAAAGTAACCAAAAACTTGCTAAGCATACGTAGACATAATTACCAGTAACTTGGGAATACTACAGTTGCAAAAACTTAGAAATTTTTTCAAGAAGGCAAGCTACATACTTATGAATTCTAAATATGGAAAATTTCTGTTTTGTAGCCACACAAAAGAAAACAAAATGAGATTACGCAAAAAAGGATTGCATTACTATCCTTGGGACTCAGTCAATGTGAAATATTGACAAGCTTTAGTAAAAAGCTATTCAGGTTTACGATTGGAAACTTGTCTAGGATCGCGCAATTAGAATGAGCCTATGCTTATCCATTGATTTGGATAATTACCAAGAGAATATGAGATTACGGTGTTCAAGGTATTAAATTATAAAAAGAAATATCGAAAATTGTCTGCATTTTAGCGTTATGACGCAGTTGAACGGTGCCTGCGTATAACTTTCGTAAAACATAAGCTGGCTTGTGTGTTCGAGTTAAGCGTAATCGTGTGAACTAAGCAAATTAAGCGAGAGGACATTTAACTAATTCTTGTTCTATGACTCAATTTCAACTGGTATCTGCGTCTATAGATTCTTATAATAAGATACAGGCGTATTTGCCCGCAACTCTCAAGTTGCAAGTCTGCTAGTCATATCAAAAGCAAAGAAGTAAGCAATCATAACGAATTTCTTAGATTAACTGGGTTTTTGCAGGATTGCATCGAGTGACTTTAGCACCAGCGTCGCAATGGAAAAGTTTGTAACGCAGTATATAATTTCATGTAAAGCTTGCGAGGGCTAGAGAGTGTTGTGACGTTGGGCATAATATACTAGATTTAACTTACGCTTGTAAACATTTTCTGAAGGCAAGATTCTCTTACTTTACAAACGAAAACAGCAAATTCTATAATTTCTAGCGTTGTGACAGTTGATCCGTATGTGTGCATAATTAAAGCAATGCATTCAGCTGTAGAGAGCCCATTTTAGAAAAATAAAACTAAGCTAAGCATCACAGTAAGCGAACGTTGTAATTTCTCTAAAACTAAACGCGTTCTTACAGGATGATTTATATTAACGGCCTTCAACTGGTCTTTTTTGCGTAATGGGAACATCAACAACGGATTGTACATTTAATGTACGTCTACGACGTGTTTGTAAAACTTTTATCATCGAACATATAGCTGCTTTTGAATTTTAGTAAGCCGCCATGAGATGTTGTTTTCAATTAATTAGTCTTTTTACAGAATATTTATGCAAAAGTACGTACTTCGCATCTCACTTGATTATTGCAACTGTGCTTCGGATTGATTTGGGCCACATAATAAGCTTCCCTCATGATCAAGTCAAGTATCTATTGCGCAATTAGAGTAAGCTGTGATAAGAAACTTCTATCAACTAATCAAGTTCTTACAGAATTTATATAAGACACGAATGGTTGCATATTATTATAATAAACCCTCCAGTTTGTCCAGGCTATATTCTATACGCTTGCTGTGCACGATCCTATTCAGTAGTATCTGAGTAAGACACATAAAAAATCGTTTCTATCAACTAATGAAGTTTTTACAGAATTTTACAAAACTTATGTCGAGTTCATAGTTAAGCGTAAAATTAAAGGCAGCTATAATCAAATTCATCGTAACAGGAACGAGTTTCATAAACCAAGTAACAAATTATATTGTATTGAATAATTACGTTTTTTTAAAAACAGAATTGGAAATTTGCGGAAATATTGAACTACATCAACTCTCATCTATCAACAATACTTGCACTTTTTGCACATCAAGAAATAGAGTAGAAGGATTAAGTAAGATGCGTAAAGATTTTAGTGTTATGGCAACATTTTTTTTATATTCATTTACGAAATCTAACGTCGATGCAGGTGCGCATGGATACACACAGTGAAAACCTTTGTACAATTTAAGATTTCATATGCAATCAAAAGCAGTTCAAGTTCATATTTTAAAAACTTTGCATGAAGCACTGACAACCTCAAATCGAATACTTATTGTAACCTGTTTTAAATTATTTTTATCACTCAGGTAACATGTTGGGATTTCTAAGCAGTACACATGTTGCTTAATCCAATATAAGCAAGCATGTTTCTAAATTAAATACATTCTTTTCGAGGAGAACAATTGAGTAACAGATATTTACCTAACAATTCTCCAGCAACATGTTGAACTACATGCATCTCATACGCCCTTAGTTGTATGTTGATCTTATTAGTTTGAATGAGCAATGTTTTGTGTGATATACATATCGGTAAAATTTTTATGGCATACAAGACGAATACTTCTAATGCAAAACTCAGAATTAATTATTGGAGCGTTAATGTTGATAGTATTAAAACATTTACGAATTGTAAATACGTTATTCCTGTTTTTGCTTTTGTCAATGATAATTTTACTTGCAGCCTGTGTAGCTAAGAATTACAAATAGTGTGTATTTCGGCTATAATAATTATCTGTACCCTTATGAATTAATTTAATCGTCATATGGCGGCGATTAACAGAAATATGGGAAAGTAAAGTGTGTGCGTCTATGGGGAATTGTCATATGGCGATTATTCCTTTAAAATTTTTGCAGTCACCATAAGGCGGCGATTGCTGAAGGGTTTCTATACGTCAAATGGCGGCGTATATCTGTTACTAAAACTAGACGTACGATAAAAGATTAAGGCTCACTAGACCGATGATTAAAGAAAAGTTGAATGAGAGGTTTTAGCAGACATGTCATTATCATGTTCGAGTTTTCAAGTAGCTTCTTCACAAATTCTGCTTTCTGTGATTATCTGAGACGTTGATATAAATGAAAAAAAAAGAAGAAAAAAGATCATTTAAATAAGAAAAAAAGCTAAGGGAATCGCTGTTTTTATGATATATTTCCACATATATCATGGCCATAGCAATATCATTATAGCTGTCCCATGCTGGTTGAAAATATTGATGCTGATTATGATGATTACAATTAATGTAAATGCATATATATATATATATATATAACTATATATATATATATATATATATATATATATATAGTTATATATATGTAAAGATATATGTATATAAATATGTATATGTAAAGATATATGTATATGTATATATGGCTGGCTCATATGAATAAGAAGAAGCTAAGGGAATCGCTAATATATTTTGTCATGATATATTTCTCTATATATATCATGAAACTCCGTTTAACAACAACAACAACAAAAACCATAATTCAAAAACAACAATCACAACCAACCAAAAAAACAAGTAAACATATATTCTTAACAACAATAATTTTATGTAAAAAAAATCGCTGTTGGATGGTAATCGATACAATGATGTAATGATGGAGATAATGATATTTTCACGGAGTGGTGGCTCGTTTAAGAAAAGCTAAGGGAATCGCTATTGTTTTCATGATATATATCGTGCTTGTATTAAATAAATATATCATGACACGAAAAGAACGAAAAAATAAAAATAAATAAAAATTCACAACAGCAACAACTCTTCAACAGTCAATACCAATAATGGTGAATGTACACTCAATGAGATATTATTGTGGTGCATGGCGGCATAGTGTGATACGTGGAAATGGCTATGGCAATCAGGCATGTATTGTATGATATTAATGTAATGATGTGTATGATGTAAATAGCTAAGGGAATCGCTTATGTATTTGATGACACTCTAGTCACAGCAAATCATTAAATATTCATTGTATTCTGATGAAAAAGCAGCACATCATTTTGTTAATTAACTTTTTGGAGGTCGAGATGTGTGAGCAAAAATTTCCAATATGATGAAAATATTTGCAAAGATCTTAAAATAAGAACTCAGTGTGAAACCGCATTATGATTAACTACATGTTGATGATAATCATGACGATGACAGGTGATTACTTCTTATGTAGCCTATAAGTTTATTTAAATACATATTTATATAAGATTTACTTGTAATCTTACCAGCCAACTATAGAGAAGATGCGCATTTGCAGATGATAATACGTTGAAAATTTGTGATTCGGAATGATTTTAAGTCAATGCTGTAAAAGCTAAGGATATCGCAGTAATCATTACCACCATCATCAAGCCCCGACGATGCTATATGCCAAGAAACGAAAAGCTCTGCTGCCATAACACCTGCATATATGATATATATGTTTATATGAATATATATTATATGTATTTATATATGCATACACATGGGTATGTGCGCGATTCCTATATACGCATATACGCATATATACGAATCTAGTTTGCATGTAAAGAAGCTTGAGATATCAATTGTGCTGCTTTTTTTGCTCATCGGCTAAACACGGCTTTTCTAAATTAGGTTATTTTTGCGTCACATTACTTGTGTATTTTAATGGTTTTTCTTATAGCGTTGTATGCATGCAATGATTGTGTTCCTGAGCATAATAGAAAAAGTAATTTGAAGGCATCGGAAGACGCGCCCATCCACGGTATAGAATATGTAACAGAAAAAGTTTTTCTGTTTTTGGTTCTGTGTTACTTTGTACCTTCTAGCGTTATGTAACAGTTGAACTGTGCCTGTACATAACTCTGCTTTACCTGATAGCGGCGGTATACGAAGAGATTTAACCTTTGCTGACGTGGGCTTCTCTAGCTTATCGAGGCATTCAACGTGACTTTTTTTCTTTCCTTTTTTTTACCGGCTCTCTTTTCGATTTATTTTACGAATCGCTTTTATAGTTTTATATCACAGTTGAACGGTGCCTGTGTGCTATATTGCAACTTTAAAATGGTGTTATATATGAGGATCAGGACAGAGAGAGAAAAAAATCCATCCACCGACTCTCTTCTCTTTTCTCTATTTTTATTTGTTTTTTTATTATTATTTTTTTTTTACTGTTATTTGTAGCGTTATGCCGCAGTTGATCAGTGCCTGCGGATAACCATGCAGTAGATCATTGATATAAAGTATATAGTCTGCGTGTTACTGAAGACATAGACGAAGACAACATGTTTAATGTGAAAGTCGTGTTTTCCCTCTTCCCTTTTTTTCTATATATATTTTTTGGAGATATTTTTAGCGTTATGCTACAGTTGATCGGTACCTGGGCATAACAGAGTCCACCACGAAGAGTTTAAAAGGGACTTTGGCTAACATATTGAGAAGTGTGAGCCAACATTTAGAGGAGGAGGCAGAGAGAAATAAAAAGCTCTATATATGAAGATCATCCCTTGGACAGTGATTATCTGAGATTAACTTTTTTTATTCAAGCATTTTTTTGCAATAATGTGGCGGTTTGCCTTTTCTCTCATCATTCCTTACACAAGATGCGTTGCTCCTATTTTCTTCTGTTTTTATTTTTTTTTTTTTTTTGGTTTTTTTTTCTAGCTTTTTGTCGGTAAAACCAGTGTCTGAGCAAAAATGGGTTTTACAAACGGACTACTGCGCGAATATAACGCCTTGTAGGTTGATCGATACGAAATGTGCTGCAAGGGCATTCCTTGCACTTTACCCGAACAGGTTAATTAGTTAAATACCTTTTCTCACACTAATGATGCTTTTACAGGAGACCATAATCAATCATTTGATAACTTGCCAGAGTATTCCAATGACTTTTAATATTGTAACTTGAAAGATTTTTGATCGAAAGATATTATGGTTTTGATAATTTAAATCAGTTTTTGGAGTTATGTTGAGTGTGTCTCATCGATATCGTTAAAGGGAATCCATACGATACAGCATCAGCAGCATTAACAACACTGTTCAACAAGAAAAATTTTATTAATTTTGATTTTTGTTTATTATCTCAAGAAATGTCTTTTTTCTTCAGTAGAACACTAATTAATTACGTAGGAAAAAAAGGGACAATGTAACATACTTTTTTAAACATAATTTTAAAAACGCAAGAGAACACATTTTACATGAACAGTTTTTAAGTTAGTATTTTCAAACCATGTAAAATTTTTGAAAAAAATTCAAGTTGTAAAAGCAATAGCCATTTTTTAAATAGTTTATTAATTTTTCGAAAGAAACCTTCAATTGTAATTTGCAAAAAAAAAAAAAAAAAGAATTCGAAATTGTAAATACTTTCTTTAATTAGATTTAACCACGGTTGCTATGTAATATTTTATTTTAATTAATTTTGTTAAATTTTAACAAAATCATTTGAATTGCACACAACGATAACAATAACAACAGCTACAACAACATCAACAAAACATTGTCGTGTATCATGGACGTTTGAGGAAACTGTTGTGGCCGTGATTGAACATAGGAGGCAACTGTATGTGAGACAGCAACTGGTATTTAGCATGAGTCAGACCGACATAATTCGACTTCCTTAGACAGCAGTTGCAGTGCAGAAATATCCTTCTGAGAAAGAGTGAAAAAGAAGTTTGTTCATACTCGTCTGTGAAAAGTCCTTCAAGGCAACCGGCTAAACGAAACGGGGGAACGTCAACAAAAAATTGCAAATCCGTTTTCTCTCAAAACTGAAAACATGCCTATTACTTATCATCATCCATCCAGAACAAAATCATATCTGCTGCAACATTAAGAAAGATAAATTGACATGAATAGCCAAAGTTCTTATATTCCCCAAGTCACTTATTCAAAACGTGGCTGCCATCAGAATTTAGTTCCATTAAAGTCAAACAATCGTGAAAAGTTTATGCGATCAACCAATAATGTCATTCGCGCATTACACAGCTTACGCTTCATCTTTGGTCTGTAATGAACTGCTTAATAATTTACACACGAATGAAAAATTGATTTGTTCATCTTTGTCCTCTCCGGGAGAGATCTTCCTATTTACATGTAGTATTTCAATTTACACAGTGGATGTGCAAAAACCTATAACTTCAAGAACAAAAGTCTACTTAAAGAAAAATGAGGATATGTTGCGGTTATACACAACAGTTCCAATCAAATAAGCCCGTTGCGCTACCATTTAGACGTTGAAAACTCTAGTGCAAACGTCTCTCTCTTCTTGGAGACCTTTTTAGATTTCAATTACATCCAACGAAAAAATTAAAGAAAGATTAAAATTAACTAACGCATCCATCATAAAACGAAAGTCATCGGAGAGATTGCTGTAGCGTTTTGAGAATCGATTTCCTGTTCGTAATGCCTAATAATCATCCTGTGTTTAAATATCGCCAAGCACTTCGTTCAGTAATGTTTGATGTTCAAGTTAAGGAAAAGTTTCTCAATATAATAACAATGCTAGCGTGTGCCATACGATGAAAAAGACTTCGCTTTCGTGCACAATCATCATAATTTGTCGTGACAGTGAGAGTCCACATGAATGTATAATGCTATAGAGGAAACTTTGTCTTCTGCCCAGTACTCGAATACGTTAAAACTAACTCTTATCTTCAAGCTTAGAAATATTGTATTGTCTTGCCCCGCTTTGCCTTGCCTTGTGTTCCTGTAGGAAGTTGCCTGTCGTGAAGGATGAAAGTTGTAGTTTTGTTAATGCATATTGTGCTTGGCTTGCCCTGCAATATTTTTTGGTCATATATACCGGGAACAGACAGAAAAGGTTATGTTTTCTTCGTTTTCATAAGAAAGTTAAAGTTTTCGTACCTATGGAAGCTCTTAATCTACGACTCTCACAATGTTCAATGTTGCTATTCTTTCGGGAAGAATATCTGATTCAGAATTAAAAACAGTTCAAGATCATGATTTTTGGGGTTGTCGACGGCCGCGTGGCATTTTAAGTGTTGACTGCGGCGTGGGATTCCAAGTGTTGACTGCGGCGTGGGATACCAAGTGTTGACTGCGGCGTGGGATACCA